ATGTTTGGTAATGAATTTTCAATCATTTTCTTATAAATAAGAGCTAGTATTAAATTAATATTGGAATTTGTTATTTATTGTTACTTATTAGATGCTATATTAAAGTCCAAAAATGAATTTTTGAAATGTTATTAGATTGTATTAATTTCAAATAAAGAATATTTGTATTCAAAATTATATAAAAATATACAACTTAACAATATGATTCTTTTAATTTTATATTAAAATATATCTTTCCTTTTAGAAGTATCATTAAATTTATTGATTTAGGCTTAACGATATTTATTTATATTTTTGTTATTAATCCAATGTCCGAAAAATATAAATGTGTCTCACAAAAATTTCAATTGGTTTGATTCCAATTTTAAATTATAAATTACGCCTTAGTATTTGTCTTTCTGACTTTACATAGGTATTTTTTATTCCCTTTGATAATATTTTATTTAATATTAAAGTAATAAATATATAAGTATCTGTAACTTAAAAAACACAATTTTGCTTAGAATCGTTGAAATATAAAAAATTTAACAAAGATTATGAGGTCAACAAATGGTATGAATGAAAAAAAATAATAAAGGTAAAAATACAAATGACATTTATAAAAGAGAATTTTTAAAGATATTATTTGATTATTTTGGCTATAAAAGGGAACTTAACTAAGAAGATTTTAGAAATTAAGAAATCTTATCAATAATAGAATAAATCTAATTTCTTTAATGGTAAGGCAAATATGGGCCACACTATAAAATAATAAGGTAAATGGATTGCAACTTGGAAAGGGGAAATAATTTAGGAAGTTGATGAATACTATGAGAATGAATTAAAGTTAGGTTAATTGAAACAACCAAGTAAGAATTATTGGAGGTAATGTATACAGAATAGTCAAGCTCAATTATATGAAAAAGGAGAATACTATCTTGATTAAATATTGGGAGACGGAATTATATCTATGATAACTAAATTATGGATGATTATTAATTAATTTATTAGTAGAGGTGAGTCATATGATTATGGAAATGGCAAAATTAAAATTAGTTACTGGATTGATTCACATGACCGATTTTCAAATTACAGACAATTGGCTCATAATGGTGAATTTATAATGGTAAAAAGTAGGTAGATGGGAAATTGAGTATAGATATGACAACAATCATCCATTCTCTAAAATGTAAAAAATATTAATTAATTGGGGACAGCGGTAGAGGATTATAAGATGATGAACTTAAGATTGGCAAGTGGACTGATTTGGATGAATAGTTTAAGTATTTAAAATAAGTAATTCATAATGGTGAATATTAAAATTGTAAAAATTTTGGTGTAGTATAATCAATCATAGTCAGATTGGTATGATCAATCAAATTCTGAATAAAAATACAATTTTTCACAGAAATGGCTAGGGATTTGCATTCAACTCCAAACATAAGAGTGACACTTTTTTCCTCATAAAAACCTTTATATTTATTCAAAATCTCGATATTTAAAAAAAATAGACTTTTTGCTTCTCTAATCCTTGCCACACAATTTTTGATAGAAAAAAATTTGTTAAAATGAAAGTCTAATGATTTAAATTATGAGATTGTTTCAGCAATACTTACCTCTGAACCTTTAAAATATTCTTGAATAAATATCGAAATGCTATTTCTAAATAAATGTAAATTTTATTTACTTATTATTTTAACCCCTTTTATCATGATCTTAATTTATCTACATTTCAACATATGTTATGTAATGAAAAAGAACTTAGAGGACCCAATTTTAATGTTTTAAAATCAATAGAAAATAATATGTCAACCTTTAATAAAAAAGCAGAATCTTAAAATAGAGAAAATGAAATTTAAATATCTCAAGAAATAAGTAATTCATGGATATTTATTAATTTGACTATTTTTTCTTCAATTTACTTGACTTATTGATAAATAAGAAAAAGTAGTTTTATGATTAGGTAAATTTATAAATTTCTTATTTCAGTAACCTCTCAATCATTTCAGAAAAAAAAGAACAAAAAAATACACCATTGAAATAATTTAAGATAAATGGGTATATTATTGATTTTATTAGTTCTAATTCAAAGGGAAAAATAAATTAAACTATAATAATTCCTTTACATTTATAAAAGCATTGCTTAGATGAGAAAGTTTTTAGTTTACTTATAGAAATTTGAACTTAAAATTAAGGGTGAAATCAATGCAGGGCTAGTACTCCCAAGCATATTTCTAATATGTTATAGGATATTACAAGCTCTTGATATTTATTGTTGGAAGTTGAATTTTAATTATGGATTCATAATAAGATATTGAGATCTCTGATTTATTAACTAGGCTCCAAAATCTATGAAATATTTTAACTCTTATTAACATTAGATTAAATAACTCTTAAGTATAAGAGAGTAATATTAGTCAATCAATCAAATAATTGTAAATTTTTCCTTCTTAGCTCATTATTAGGACTTAAGTAACATTGATCTACAACAATAAAGAATTACAATTTAGAATTAATGTATTGTGTAACTTTATTTACAGAGAAAATTAGTTAAATTGATAGTAAGTTAAATAAATTTTACTTTAAATTTGTCCTTTTTTTTCATTTTTAATATTGGATATTAAATATTTTAATTTTAATTGAAGAGTCATTACATAATTTTTAGATTATAAATTTAAATATTTTATTCTGTAATGTTGAGTTTTTAGGAAACTTCATACTCTCAGTTATGGAGAAATTATAAAATAATAATTGGAATTATGTAATTTAGAATTAAATGCATTTAACTCTCTCAATTTTTAATTTTTTCTATTTTATTTATTCAAAAGTTAAACCGTGGTGAGATAATGTATAACATTGATTTTATTTCTCAAATCATATTTCAACTTAAATAAAATCTTTCTGTTTATTAAAGTTCGAATTTTAATTTTTGCTTCAAGGAAACATCTAATGTCAATAGAATTCTAATATTAAGCTTAAGATTTTGAAAATTATAGTAAAATTATATTGGAATTTTAAGAAATTGTAAATCATATTTAAACAAAGAATGCTTGAAGCTTCAAAATTAATTTATATAATTAAATTTTTTTTAATTTTTTATAAATAAGTATTGATGTTAGTTTGCAAGATAACTGGTGAATGATTTTTTCTGTAAAATAACTTTTTGATACTCAATTTTTCACATTTGAACTATTTTTATGTTTATTTGTTTTGAAAGAAAAATAATTATTATTTTCCAAATTACTCAAATTAAGCAGTGCCACAGATACTAAATAATATCGTTCTCAATTATTATTAAATAAATTTGAAGAAACAAATAAGCATACTCTATAATTGAATGAGTTTAAATAATTAAGTAAATAAATTTATATTTAAATTACTATTAGTTGTAATTTCATATTCATGAAAAAGGCTGGAATATTGATTAGATTCATTATGTGATTTAAGAATTTTCATCTGAATTTTTAGTTTTTTATCTTTTCATAACTCTCTTACTAATATTTTAAATAAACGAAATAAACTGTCATGCTTAAAGGAGTATTGTAAAATTGTCATCAACTATGTTCAATAGTATGGACTATCTAAATAAATTATCAGGAGAAAATTTTTAATATTCCAAAACAAATTTATTTAAATATGATACGATCGATTACATCCCATATTCTTAAAGCAATTCACCCAAACTAGGCCTCAAAATGCTTACCTAAATATTACTTGTCTGATAAAGTCAAAGAAAAGTAATTAAGAGAAAATGACATGCTTTGGATTGCAGCAAATGCAGAGTACTAAATATTCAATAATCATTAGTGACAAAAGGTGTTCAATCATCGAGATTCAAAAATTCATATAAGAAGAGCCTATGCTTGAGTAATCCCCAATTCGACTCATTGATTTGGGAAATAATTATTTTCGACACATAAATCCCAGAAAAAAAAAGACTATGCTTTAACTTTTAGATGCCTATGTTGATAATTTGACTTAAGATGAAAACAAACTGTTTTAAGATGCCCTATCAATCTACTTTGATAATACTTATTAAGGGAAGGACATGGAAACCTTAAGTTGTGAAGAAAAGGATTTTCCAGAACCATTATTATGGCATATCTATAGCTTAATGATATTTGATAGATTGAGCAGCAATTATGCACGATATGAATATTTGGATTAATTCGGAGTCATTGAATATTTTAATAAACGAGATAAAGTATCAATAAATTATATATATTAACTTTTAGTCTAAAATCAATCGAGTGAAGTATGTATTTACTTCTCATCCAACTTAACCAAATTCATTGACCTAGTTGATTGCTATAAGTAGAATGCTCCAAGGGATAGAATAAAATGATTACAAGTATCTTAAATATGCTGCTAAGTTATTTATTTAATCTAATAAATAAAGAGTTTTCAATGTAATTTATTCAACTTATTATTTTATAGAAAGTATCCTACATTGAAGAATCATTAATATATCACACCTAATATTTACCCAATCTTATTAAGGCTGTGGCTCAAGCTTATGAATTAGGTTTGAATAACCCAGAATAATATATTGAGACTCCAGGTACTTGGTTGACATTTGATTTTGATAATCATCCAGGAATGGTAAGCATTTTATTTCATTTTTTTAGGAAATTGGTATTATGACTTATACTCATGGGTTGACTATTGAATTGACCTTGTAATAATATAAAGAGTACATTTCTGAGGCCAAATTAAATGAGAATGAAGATTTTAAATAAATTTTAGAATTATATTAATAAGCTTTAGATTATAGTAAAAACTTAAGAGATTTAAGTGATAAATTTAGAGTTAAGAAGGAAATATCACTTGAAGAATTCTACTAATAAATGCCTATATTTAATATCAAAAAGATAGAGGATTAAATTAATTAGATTCTAGATCAAATCTTAACAAAGAATGATGATTCTAAGGATTATTTTATAGCATTAAAGCTGAAGAAACTCTATTCTATTTTCAG